GCCCTGATGCCACAGACAATCACCGCCTTGTTGTGCGGCAGCGGAAAGTTGGGAACGGGAAGCCCTCGGCCCCAGCAGCGATGCGATGCGATGCGATGCGATGCATCGCGCCGAGTGGGTGTGCCCGTGGCCCCCCGCACGGCACGATCCCGCCGCGGCCCCGTGGCACACGGAGCCCGAGCCCCGAGCCCGGGCGGGGGGAAGCGGGGCAAGGCGAGCGCCGGGGGATGGGGATGGGGATGAGGGGAGGGGGCTGCCAGACAAAGGCGGGGGCCCCCACCCAACGCCAGCACGCTTTTCCCACTGCCCTAGATTCCGGGCGGCTGCGCTGCAGCGCGGTTCACTCGGTCAGCGCGGCATCCAAGCCGCCCGATCCGATGCGCGGAGGAGCGTGTGTGTGTGTGTGTGTGTGTGTGTGTGTGTGTGTGTCTCCCGAGAAAATTCCCTTTGTCTCTCTCCCAGACCCATTTTCTCCTCCCACCTCCAGTTCAAACCGCACGAAGTCGATCCCGTTCCGCACTTTTCCCTGGTGTAAATTCAGACCGATTCTCATTAACACTTTATAACAACCCAGCACCGACTGCAATCTCTCTCTCTCTCTCTCTCTCTCCCTTTAAGGCTCATCCCGAGCTGCCGGAGCAGCGTGTGCAGGTTGGCTTCAGGCCCCACCAGACCGGGTGGCTTTAGCTCCAAGATTTCTGTGAAGCAAGGAGACAAGAGGAGCTGCCCCGCTCGCTGCTCCTCGGATGCTGTACATCCATCCACCTCCACAGGGTGGGTGGGGGAGCTGCAATCATCAGACTTCCTCAATGGAAAAGGCTTCCTTGGACTATTTTTAAATGCTGAAAGCGTTGAAGCATGTTTGGAGCTACACAAAGAGCCCAATCACCTGGGGTTAGTGGGGCCTCTTGTTATTTGACTTCACCTTGCCAAGAAAGAGCAATTTACGTTAGGCTCCTCTCTCACATAATCCCATTCCTGGTGACAACAGGCTGGTTGAAGCAGGCTGGGAGATGCTGCATCCAAGGGTGTCTCTGGGTACAGGTGACAATGGGCACTATCACTGTGATGAGACCAAAAATCCTTAGAGGGACCAAAAACCCTTAGAGGGAAGGTCCTCGCTGGGAGCAGGCGCAGCAGGAAGCCAAACCTACCCCACACCTTCTCCGGACACCTGCACACACCAGACACACAAAGAACCAGCACCATGGCTCCCTAACCACAACATCTGGCCTTAGATGTGCCCCACTGCCTCTTCCCTGACTCCACCAAGAGCAGCCCACTTTGTCCGTGAGAGTGGGCAGAAAAGTTGAATATGAATCCTGATCTGGCTGATCTACACCCATCTCAGGTGACTTCTAGGGAAGAACCCAGCTCATCGCAGTGGCTGAGGATTTCTGCCCCTTTCTAAGTTCACAGCACACATGACCAAGACACGATGCCTTTAAGACACTCTCTGCTCCTTTAGTGTCTCTCCCATCTCAACCCACACCCTTGGGTTGCAAGAAACTTCTCCACAACTCGCCTTAGTATCCCATCATCTTCTCAAAAACCACCTGTAAACCCTTCCAGTGCTTTGTCTTTACACCCTGGCAAATTCATCCACACGTGAGAACCCACGCAGTCCCAGACAGGCTGTTGCAGACAAGACATCCACAACAAGGGTCAGCAGGAGAAATGCAAGAGCCACCAAGCACCCCCAACAAGTCACATAGGCCCTGAATGGCTCCAGAACCAGGGAGCACCTTCCCTGCCATGGCACATGCCCGGGAGGTTCAGTCACCCAACTCAGCACAGCTGGAGTTCTCACACACCAAGGGAAGGAGGGATGACCTGCAGGAGCCACGACCCAGGCAGAGATGATCCTACCCCTCACCCTTGGAGCAACAGGAGGGCAGGTATGGAGGCCATGGCTCCACCTCCAGCCAGGGAAGGGGTGTCACCTGAAACCATGCCAGGTCCCACCACTCCGAGGGGCAGAGGCAGCAGTCAAAAGGATTCTCATGACTTCATCCTCTCATCCTTCCTTTCCCAGTTTCCCCTCCTTCAGTTCCCAAAGCAGCCCTTGGCACACCCCACCAGCCGCCCAGCTCTCTGCCACGGACCCTGGGGCATCAGGTGAGGGAGCAGCTCCCGGTGCCTGCCCGTCCAGTTCCCACCAAGTCCCCCCTTTGCAGGGCCCACCATGTCGTGCCAGTGAGCCCCCCGTGCCAGGCAGCCCGTGGCCGTGCCGCTGGAGATGTGCTGCTCAAATTCAGCGCACAAACCAACCCCAGCGCAGAGCCGAGCGAGGTTTCCAGCAGGCGATTGGCTCCGCAAGGGCACGTTCGCAGTTCCCGGGGAAAGCAGGAGCTGCCAAGCTCAGGTTGAGCTCTCCTGCAGCATCTCTCACTCCAGGTGGAGCCACCCCCTCTGCCACAATTAAACCTCTTCACAAACCACCCTTTACAGACAGACCAATAAAAATATATGGGGCTTGAGCCTTGTTTATGCTCAAGTGCCTTTACACTCTTTCGGCAAAGCGAGGGGTGGCCTGATGGCAGGTGGAATTCCCATGGTCAGGCGCAGGCACCTGGGCCCCCATGGCCAGATCCAGGCCTCTCATATCCAGGCCTCTCACATCCACACCTGCCCATGAGAAACACCTTCATATATGGCAAATATTATTTTAAAATAATCAAAAGGAACAGTGTGTTTCTTCAGATCAGAAAATAGTAAGTTAGAGAAAACCCTGTCACCAAGTAAAGCCCTGAAATCATTTTGATTTCATTATTAGTTTTTGCAAGATGTTCACAGATACTCATAAACCACTTATTTCCCTAGAAAACCATCCACCACGTGAGCAGTACTACCAAAGGGTGACAATCTGCAGTTTCTGGGATTCCTGGTCAGGCATCCATGAGAGTGCAGGATTCAGTCCCCTGGGAGCCCAGCACCCAACTCCAGACCCTCGTAATCTGGCCTTCCACGCAAAAACAAGGAGACACTGGAGACATTCCTACAGGCCTTTAGAAACAAGTGTGGGCCACAATCTCTGCTGGAGTAAAGAGCCATGGCTTCAGGGTCTGTGTGCAAGGAATCCTGGCTTCTCCCAGCACAGGATCAATCCCACCTGCTTCCATGACGGGGCACAGCCTGCACCGCCTGCCCCACCGGCGCATGGAGCGCGGCCGCGGCCCCAGGGCTCCAGCACACTGACATTTCACGGTTTCCCAGATGTGGGAAAAACCCTCGCACATGCGAAAAATGGTGGAAAAAATCCAGGTCTGCACGTCCCTCTCCATCACTCTGGCCACAGCAGGCACGCGCTGCGCTCTGAACACATCGGAACACACCCCCTTCTCGGGAGTCTGGGGCAGCAGTGAGATCCTGGAAGCAAACAGCCCCCCGCACGTTTCCCCTCGGTTCCGCCTGCTGAATCCTCTCTCTTTCCCAACTTTATTAAACAAAGGGGGCCTGATTCTCCACGGCCTCACACCCGCCAGAGCGGAGTCGGTGCTGAGCCCGCCGTGTCTGCCCGTGCTCCGCTCCTGGAGGTGTAAAGGCATCGCGGGGAGGATCAGGATCAGGGCCAGCGGGATCTCCTTGGCCAGACCTTCACCCCGCTCCAGCCGTCTCCCCAACTCCCCGGCGAGGGGCCCCCATCCCAGTGTGGTGGATGCCAGAGCAAGAGCTGTTCTCTCGGCTGCAGACGCCCCGAGTTTCAGGGAGGTCAGCACCCCCTGGGGACTCCTGCCCACTCTCCATCCCGGCATGGGGACCGGACCCTTGCTCTGCGGGTCAGAGCGAGCGGAGCCTCCGCAGGGCCCATTGTTCCCACCACACGCCCCAGCATCGTGATGCCCAGCCCGGAGCCATTTGTGTCCCTCTCCATGTGGCTTCCCCTCGCCCACCTCTGCCCTTCTGGGGGCACGGGGGGAGGTCATCACACGCCAGGTCCCACCACGAACCCCCTGCTCGGATGCCTGCGATCCCAACCCACGGGGGAGCATCTGCCCGTGGAGCCGCAGGCTCTGCCCTTCGCACTTCCAGAGCGCCAAGTTACTTGTGCAGAGAAAGAAAGAAAAAAAAAACCCAACACTTAGCCGCACTATTATTATTTTTTTTTTCCTCTGTAGCGACACAAAACTTCTCTCGGCAGCACCGTGCCCCCGCTCCCGCAGTGCCCACGGGCAGCGCGGGGCCCCGCACCGCACACCCGGGAGCGGTGGGGGTGGGCGAGGGGTGACTTAAGAGTGGGTGTGGTATGGAGATATATATATATAATTTTTTTTTTTTTTTAAAAGCCCTCCTCCATTCCACCTCGCTCCGAACGGAGCCGTGAGGAGAACAAAAGCATCACTGTGGCGGCGCGCGGGCAGCGGCTGCGGGGTCCCACGCGGGACGGCGAGTCCCGCTCCAGGGTCCTCCCGCTCCCACGAGCGGCGGGAGGAGCTCGGCTCCCACCCGCTTACCGGCCGCTCGGACCGAGCCCGGCACCACCACACCCCCTCCGCCCGGCCAACAAAGGGGGGCTCCGGGGCGCGGGGCCGGGCTCAGCCCGCTCCCCCCGCCCTCCCCCCGCCTTATTCCCAGGTTGTGTTTTTTTTGTTGATTTTTTTTTTTTTTTTTTTTTTTTTTTTTTTTTTTTTTTTTTTTTTTTTTTTTTAAGGAGAGTGCGGTCGGGATCGGCTCTTTGGCAGAACCGGGGAGCGGCGCGCGGGGCTCCGGTGCCGGCAGCCGGACAAGCCCCCCCCGCAGCATTCCCACAGACCTCCCGTCCCACCCTTCCCGAAAAACCCCCGTGCCGGGAGCGCAGCCATCCGCCCGCAGCTCAGGAGCTCCCGGGCTTTGTCCCCGGCGGGGCCGAGCGGCCCCGGCCCCGAACAATGGGCGGGAGGGAGCGGCGGGGGCGGCGGCGGGGCCCCCCGGCCGCGGGGGGGGGGGGGGGGAGTGTCCCGGGACCGGCGAGCGGCAGGACCGCGGTGGGGATCGGGGGGTACCGGGGGCCCGGCGCTCACCTTGCCGTCCCACGATCTCGGCCACGTGCTCGGAGCTGGGCACCGGGACGCACTCGGTGGTGTTGGAGCTGCTCTTGAGCCGCAGCTCGGCCTCCTTGTAGAGCGCGCACAACTTGGGCTCCGCCGCCCCGGCGCTGGGCGCCGCCGAGCCCTTCGGGGCCGCCGGGGGCGGCGGCGGCGGCGGCGGCGGCGGCTGCTGCGGCGGCGGCGGCGGCGGCGGGGGCTGCTGCGGCGGCGGCGGCGGCGGGTTATTGTTGTTGTTGTTGCTGTCCTCCACCAGCACCACGGCCGAGGAGGAGGAGGAGGAGGAAGGCTCGCCTAGCCCCAGCAGGCAGAGCTGGTCCAGGGCGAGCTGCAGCGCCCGGTCATCCTCCAGCAGCGCTCTGTCTTTGCCGCTCCCACCGAAACAGCCTAAATCGCCGAAACCCCCGTTCCTTTCCATTATCCCTGGGACTACCAGGCTAGGCATGGCTAACAAAGGCTTGGGAGGGGGCTGGGGGCTGGGGGGGGGGGGGGGGGGGGGGGGGGGGGGGGGGGGGGGGGGGGGGGGGGGGGGGGGGGGGGGGGGGGGGGGGGGGGGGGGGGGGGGGGGGGAGGGGGGGGGACACAAAGAGCTCGGGAGGGAGAAGGGAAAAAAAAAGGCAGAGGGAGAGAACGAGAGAGAGAAAAGGACCCTCCGCCCCCCGCCCCCCGCCTGGCCAAGCCCCTTTCCCGTGTAACCCGAGCCCCGCGCCCGCCGCCTCCACCGCGGGGTCCCCCCGCCGCCGCCCCCGCCCCCGGCCGCCGCCGCCGGGGGGTGCGGGGGGTGCGGGGGGCGCGGAGCGGAGCGCGGCCCCGCGGGGGGAAACTCTTTTGTTTGAAGGCGGCTGGGCGCTGCGGGAGCGGCCCGGCCCGCGGGCTGATGGGGGATGTAGTCCGGCCGTGGCACACCCCCGCCCGCGGCGGCGGCGCCGGGGACCGGGCGCTGGGACGGGGGCGGCGGGGACCGGGGCGGCGGCGGGAGCGGGGGGAGTGGATGTTAGGGGGGATGGGACACCCGCCGTGACACGGGGAGGGGGATGTGGGGACCCACGGTGACACGGGGAGGGGGGGGGGCGGCGTGTCGACCGGCACGATGGGGGGGATGTTTGAAAGCCACAGTGACACTAGTGGAGTGGGATGTGGGGGGACCGGCTGGGACACGGGTGGGGGGCTGCAGAGAGACACACTGCGCAGTGGGTGGAGGGGTTGCAGGGGCACACGCCGTGTCCCACGTGTAGGAGCTGCAGGGGGACCCACCGTGTCACCAGTGGAGGGACATGCCATGACATGGCTGAAGGGAGTGCGGGGAGACCAACCATGCAATGAACGGGTGCAGGGGGCTGTGTGGGGACCTGCTGGCCAAATGCGTGGGACCCACTGCCACACGGGTGTAGGGGGCTCCTTGGGGGCCCACCGTGCAGCAAATGGGTGGAGGGGCTGCATGGGGACCCACTGTGGGTTCCATGAGTGACTGTGTGGATACTCACTGCACACACCCCAGGCATGGAGGGGTCACAGGAGGAAGGGATCTGTGTGAGGACCCACCATGTGCTCCTCAGCACAGAGGGGTAATGGGAGAAGGAGGGGACTGCGTGGGGACCTGCACCCAATCGAGGAGGTTTTGTGTGGGGACGTGCCACTGCCCACCCAGGAGTGTGCTGCGGAGCTGCCCGGGGTTGGGATCCATCCAGAGACCCACTGGCATAGCAAGGACCCCTGGGAGGTGTGGTGGCTCAACGGGGACACCTCAGGGTGGTACTGCTTGGGCACAGGCTGGCAGTGATGCCAGGGGTGGTGGGGTGAAGGGTGGGGTGAAGGGTGAGCTGAGGGTGGGGTGAAGGGTGAGCTGAGGGGTCTGGCTGTGATGGGGCAGGTCCTGAATGGGTGGACCCCCCGCCATGGGCACTGTTTTGTCCTCCTGAAGCGGGGTGAGACCCCCAACCAGAACCACAAGCATTTGAGGGCCGACACTGCATATCCACCGGGACTGGGAATCACGGAAAACAAGGAGAAGGGGTAGCCTCCCATCCCCCCAAGGCCTTGTGATGGCTCCAGGCTCAGCGAGGCTTGGCGGGGCTCCTGGGGCTCAGCTCCCCGCCCTTGGCTCCGTGCCCCAGCAAAGCCCCCTCTGCAGACTGGGGATGCTGGGAGGGCCGTGGGACAGCCCTGCTCCCTGGGCTGGCCTTTCTCATTGAAATGAGGAGGGTTCAGCGCGGAGGGAAGCAGTGACAATCGCTCCCCAGCTCCCAGCCAGTCGGGCTGGGCGGTGTGTGTGTGAGCGCGCGGTTCTCCCCTCTCCCCTTTCTTCCCTTTGAATCAAACCAGATGTCTCCCATGAAATGAGATTGCCGGAGCTCACACTGGAGAGAGACAATGCGGAGGGATGCGAGGCTCCCGCCGAGCCACATCGCGCCGCAGCTCTGGCAGAGGCGACGGCTGCGGCGAGGGCTGGGGGGTGGTGGCACTGGTGCCTTGTCACCGAGGCTGGAATTTTCTAACCCCCACTGTATCCTGTATGATTTCCTCTCTCTGGCTCTGGGATCCTTGCAGGGAGGTTTATTCTTCCCCCCCCTCCCCGCCCCCCCTTCCCCTCTCTGGGTCTACCAGCAGAAGATCTCAGCTGCGGCTAAACTCGGCAGATGGGGCACCCAGCACAAGGAGATGGCTCATCCACTGACTCAGCCGGTAAGGTGCTGCTGGAGCTCTCCCTGAGAGTTTGCCCAGGCACTTTGGGAAAGGGGAATTTTTACTTTCGGTTTGGTTTTGGCATCCAGGTTTCCTGATGCTTTGCAGAAACTGGGGAAGACGCTGGGACGCCGGTCAGAGGGGCTGGCGGTGGCTGGTCCCCTCTGCAGCAGGATCTGGTGTGGAGCAGCTTATGGGTTAGAGCTTGTGGTGGTTGTGCTGTGGATGTGCACAAGAAAGGGGGGCAAAAAGTAAAGCTAAGGGCAGGAGAACCCACCCCACTGCTGCATTTCACTCAACTAGTTTTGGTCGTGGCTGTAGAATAGTGTCTTGGAATTACTCTTTTATTTCTTTTTTCACCTTTGTGTGACGAAGGGACTCGTGAAAGTGGCAGTTCAGGATTTCCCTTCCTCTGTTTGTGTCGGGATATGATGGATGGTGGCTCCGTGGGCACATGCACGTCACACGGCGTATTTTAACGCCACAGGCACTCAGCCCTGTGTGCCACATGGAGGTTACACGGACAAAAAACGTGCATTTAGCGCACGTGGATGTTCACACACACCTGCTGGCCACGCTTACAACCAGGTGAACACACTGTGTGTGTCTGTGAGCTCGTGTGTCACGGGACGCGTGTGCAAGCGAGCGCAGGTGCGCAGCCGTGTACGCTGAAACACGGACACGAAGCGCACGTGTTTCTGTGCGAGGTGTTTGTGTGCACACACGTCCACATGCAGGGCTGTTCCCAGTGTGGGTGTGTATCGTGTGTGCACTCGTGTGCAGGAGCACACGTGCCAACAGCGTGTTGTGGTGCCGTCGGGACCCGTCGCGTTCTGCCCTGGAAATTTTTCGCCTGTCCGAGCTGGATCTCACACGTGAGGCCAACAGCAGTGCCTGCTCTGGAGGCAGCCTGTTATTTCAGGGGCACGGTTTTGCTTCCCATCTCCATTTTAAGTTCTGTCCCGGAGCTCTCAGGAGAAGAAAGTGCCCCTGGAAATCAGAAAGTGAAAGGAAAAAAAAAGGGAAAAACAAAAAAGCCCCAAACCGCCGAGCTCCGGCTCTGAGCGTTCCAACAGCACGAGCCAGGCCCAGAAATCACCAAACTGGCTAAAAAGTTTGTGTGACTCCAAAAAAATAGCGAAAATGGGGTTTCTTTTTATTCGCCTTCTCCCGGGGCTGTCGGATTTCACTCTGGTTACATCACCTTGCTTTCCTGCACAGCCACAGGGTCTAGCAACTTGCTTTAAAAAATTAAAATTCCTACTCGTGCAGATTCACATGACTCACAGAGCTGGGAATTTCAGGCAACCGGGAATGCTCATAGAGAAATTGCAGGAATTGGCAACTCGGGCAGTGACTAATCCTGATGGGTCCCCGATAGCAGCGTCTCTCAGTTCATACAATATTTTGGGGGCGTAGCTGGGCTCCAACCAGGACTTTGATCCTCTTCCCAGTGATAGCAGCTGCTTGGGAATGATCTTACCTCCCGTCTGGCATCGCTGCCTCTGGGGAAGCTGGATTTCAGGAGTAATTCAGGTTAAAGTTAGCGCTGCCAGGTGGCTTGAACCGGCTCGATGAGCTGGAGTAGGTCACGGGGGCTCGTGTCGCGGGGCTGTGGGAGGCTGCATTGTTCGCAGCTCCACAGATATTGGGGTAAAAGGTTATTTTTTGGGTGCAGGTAGCGCTGGGTTGCAAGCGAGGAGTTTGCTGCGAGTTGTAATCTCCGCGCAGCTACATCTACTCTGTGAACGTCCCTGCCAAGGTTTTTGGCAGAAACGCAGTGCTTCTAGTTAAAAAGTGGGCATTTCCAAATGATTTAAAATCCACAATCCCTGAATTACTGCCGGGGAAATAAAAAACGTATTAATTAAAGCCAGGGACGGCGGCAGAGTCCTCCGAGCAGAGAGGTCGGGATCGCGCAGCAGCGTCACGTGCTCCTCGTCCCTTCCCGAGGCAGGAGGCTGCAGAATGATCAAAGAAAAGGGAGAAACTGCAAACTGCAGCTGCTGCCGGTGCCAGAGCCGGGGAGGGGTGGCCGGGCACCGCTGCTGGTGACAGAAAGCCCTGTGGGAGGCAGGAATAAAGCTGACATTGACTGAGGAGGTGCCAGCAGCCTGTCCTTAGGCAAAACAGCAACTTCACGGTCACCATCATGAGCCAACGCAGAGAGAAACTTTCTGGATGAATTTGTGTCATCGATGCGAAGCCAAATTCGGCACTTCCCGGTGCTGCATCCCTCTGCCCCCTGACACAGCCCAAGTCTGGGGTAAAGGTAGCAGCTGCTAGGAAAAGTGTAATGCATCCCACATCCCGTACACTGAGGTGACTGATGGTGGGGAGGGTAGAGGGAACAAACACCTGCTTGGAACCAGGACGTCATTTTTAGGCTTCTCTTCATTTTCAGCTCACATAGAATCACAGAGTATTCTGAGTTACAAGGCTGGAGCTGGGGTGCTTTCACCATGAGCGCTCCGAGGCAGCGTCTCCCTATCCCTGGACAGCTCATTTCGAGAACTGCTCAGTTACAGGAGTATCCCAAATGCTGGAAAGCTGGAAGGGTTCCCTCCCACCCTGTGGGGCCACGGAGCTCTGAGCCCACAGCCCCACGTGCTGGTCATTCCCCGTAGCAAGCACGTGGTTCAAAGGTGACTCTGCCCTCCGTGGTGGCTGATCTGCCCAGGATGTCCCTGCAGCCTCATCTGTGGCTGCCACTGTCCGGACAATTCATCTGCTGCCCCTTGACGTTAAACCTCTTTGCTTTGTCAGCAGGACCGGCAGCAAGAGGAGTCTCACTGTCCGTGC